CCTTGGCCAGTCTCACGCCCGCCGCCAGCCCCCGAGCCGCGCCGCCCAGCCGTCCCACCTGCGCCAGCAGCTGCTGCAGCAAAGGCCACACGACGATCAGAAGCCCCCAGGCCATGTCGCGAGGAGGCAGAGCGAGCGAGCTCTGTGGCAGCAGCCGACTATAAATACCACCTGGGCCCCTCCCCGCGCCCCCGGCGCCTAGTCCAAAGCTTTGATTGGCTTTCCGAAGCGAGCGTCGCGTTTATTGGCCCTGCCCGTCCCCGCCTGGATCTGCCCACTCCGCAGGCCCGGCCCTCCCAGACAGCATGCTTCCACTAACCCGCCGCTCCCCCCGCTCCCACAGGAGACAGCCTCTCAGACCAGCGGAGGGACTGTCCACAGAGGTGAGAGAAGAGCCAGCACAGACAGGCGTTTTTGCAACAAAGTCCAGGCAGTCAGAGCTTCAAAAGGCTCCTGTCAACGAAGGAAAACCAGCTACCTCAGGCTGGGGAGCCGAGCGCCTCTCTGGGTCTGGGAAGGTCCTAAGGTCTGGGCTCCCTGACATCGTTCTCAGATGGGCGCCCTGGCTGTCCAGGGCCGTGTCCTGTGCTCCCCGTCCTGAGTCCCCTCGGGGCGGGGGCACCTTTGGGGGGCCGACTGCAGTGGCCGAGGGCTCGGCAGGGGGCAGCCGCTTTGACTCTGTCCTGGGCTCCCTCAGGGCTCAGCATCACTGGGGAAACCTGTGATGACTTGATGGCTGCAACGTCCTTTGTTTACAGATGTGACAACATTTTCCACTCACAGGCTGATGAGAGGGATTCCAGGGGAGGAGACCCGTTCCTTGGGGGGGGGGGACGGATTACAGCCCCCGCAGGTGAACAGGGAGCTCCAGGCCCCTTGGTCTCCTAAGCCTCCTCCATGCCTCCCCCCAAGGAAGCCCCACACTCCAGGAGGGGCCGGTGGGCTGCTCCAGTCTCTGAGCCCCGCCCGGGACCCAGGTCCCTTCTGCTAGAAGTTCTTCCTACTACAAGCTGCTGGCAGGTCACCCCAGGACGTGACGAGTGCCAGTGAGGTGATGTCACGTCCCCCGGGAAGTGCCCCTCCTCTAACTTGCTCCTGCTGCTCTAGGGCTTCTGGAAGGTGGGGTGGGGCCAGGGCACGTGCCCTCCTGAGCTTCCTGTCTCCCAGTTCAGCTGCCCTGTCCTCGTCCTGCCCACATAGCCTGGGAGCCAAGCCAGGCACAGGGTTGGTGGTGCAGGTGGGGGGCGTGCTGAGTGGGGGTGGGGTGAGAGGCACAGCTCTGCACCCACACCCTCCTAGATGGCCCCACCGGCATCTCGACACCCAACAGTTGACCTGATGAACCCAGAAACTACATCTAGGTTTTTAGGACGTGGAGGTGCCACATGACACTCCGGCAACCACCTCTCTGTGCACTGGCCACCTGTTTCCCTGGGATTGTGCCCACCCAGGTTTCTTTTCTTTGTTGACTTAGAATAGTTCTTAGCATGCCCAGGTCATAAAGAGAATTCTGGGCGAGATTCGGAACCTGCAGGGGGCAGGGATTGGAAGAGCTGGTGAGTCAGGCTGCAACAAGGTTGCCAAGTCTGGCTCTGAAAGAGGGTTCCGGGTGCAAGATGGGTGGCCCAGGTCTTCCAGTCCAGAGCAGCCTGCCCTGGCATCCAGATGTGGAACACTGCCACCTCCGGGACACTCGCTCTCCAGCAGTGGGGCTCCAGAGCCAGTGTGGGGCACTGACCTCGGAGAGGGGCCCCGGGAGTCCAGTCTGCCTACGGCAGGCATGACGGCTGGGATGGCAGTGCCCATTTGCCCCTTCCTTGGCTCCAGTCCTGGCTCCATCCTGTCCTGGGTCTTTTATCCTTCGCATGCTGTTAGGGCTGGGCCGCTGTCTCCCTTTGCTGTGGTGTGTGGGGTCTGTGGTCTGCTGATCCCACCCTTTCCTTCAGGAGCATCCTCAGCTGTCTCAGCAAAGGCAGGTCCACTCACGCTGGCCCTGGTGGCAGTGAGTACCAGGAATGGTGGACACAGTGGAGTTGAAGGGCTGGGCTGGGGGCATCAGGGGAAGGGGGTCATCGTTGCAGGGGAGAGACCAGGGCTGCCTTGGAGTCCCCTGGTGGGTAGTGCCCCTCCTGTTTCCTCCGCTGGCTCATTGGCTGGTTGATGCTACTCTAGCCTCCTGGCATCTGCTCCACAGGGTGGCCTGCTTCTAACTGCTCCCTGCAAACTCAACCCCATCCTCCCGGGACCTCTTCCCTCCATCGTCATGACCTTGGACCCCTCCCTGGGTCCCTCCAGCCCCAGACAGACCCCTGCTGGCGTTGAGTCTCTCCCTTGAAAGACCACCCTCCCCTGTGGTTTCCAGAAATCCCCCAAAAGAAAACATGCGACATGTGTGTCCATTTATTTCAAGGAGTAGAGCACAGACGTGCCCCCAGACTGGGGGGAGCAGGCAAGAACACAGATACAAAAACCGGAAAATAAGACAGTCAGCTCAGATGTTACTGCCACAGCATAGCTTAAGGCTCCGTGTGTATCTACATGTGCAGATGCTCACACACACACGCAGGCACACACAGACACATGCTCGCACACGCACATGCACCCACGTGGCATTTGATACAGGAATGGAGGCCAGACGCCAGACACTGTTTGCAGCCTGCCTAAAATATTGCAATTGCATTTATTAAAAACGTGTAGAAGGGGAAGATCGTGCACCAGTGTCAGCGAAGTGTCCCACCTGGCCATGGGCACTGCTGCCTGCCCACGCCCGCCCGCCCCACCTTGGCACACCTGGCCACACAAGGTGTAGTGGGTCCCGCAGGGGCACATGCTTGGCTCCGTCCAAACAGCACGAGGGCAGAACAAAGCCCCCAGTGCCCCGTCCAGAGCAGCCCAGAGCTCACCTGAGGCAGGGTCTCAGGAAAGGACGGCCTGTGCCTCAGGTCTAAGGAGGACTGGGGCCCTGGGGACTCCTGGCTGCTCCTCAAAACCCCTGACTCACCCCTGCTGGGGAGCAACCCTCCAAAGCCTGGCAGGCCCCCCCTCTCCCACCTCCCTCAACCCTGCGTGGCGAGTGGTGGCAGACGCGGAGTGATAATGCCAGGGAGCGCAGCGCATGAGGACAGTGGCGTTTGGCTTTGGCATTATGGCCAGCGCCGGGTGGAGGGCCCTAAGGGAAAGGCCAGCCCCTTCCCAGGGGGACCCCGTGCGGCTCCCCAGGTCCCGCCTCCTGTCCAGCGTTATGGGCCACAGCAGCTGGGCTCCTCGAGTCTCTGCCTCCACGGGGCTGGCTTAAAGTGCTAGGTGCTGGGAGGGAGGCTGGGGCCGGCCCGAGTCCTGTAGGTGATGCCCACGCCGTCTCCAAAGGGCTCTTATTTGAGGATGTAGTTAATGAGCAGCTGGCACGCCAGGAACACGCAGAGCAGGAACCAAGAGCGGGGACTGTGCAGGAGACCTGGGGCCAGCGCCTGTCTGGCCTGTGTGGTGGAGCTCAGCATGGCTGAGAGATGCCTAGAATGACAGGGTGCATTCGAGGAATTCAAGTGGGCAGCCCCAGCCAGCCCAGACAGGACGCCACATCCCTGTCCTCTGGATGCAAACGCAGGTGAGTGGCTCATTCAAGGGTGGGGCCCCAGGGCACAGAGGCTGCACCGGGCTTCCCAGGCACACATGCAGGGGGCTGGGGTCAGGGCTTGGGAGCTGGGCTTCCTACATCCCCCCTCCCACCTCCCCTGTTACAGGCTGACTGTGTTCCCCAAAGTCATATGTTGCAATCCTGACTCATTACCCCCAAAATGCGACCGTATGTGAAGATATGACATTTAAAGAGGTGATTAAGGTAAAATTGAGGTCACTAGGCTGGGTCATAATGCCCTAGGACTGGTGTCCTTACAAGAAGAGGAGATCAGGACAAAGACACACACAGAGGGATGACCACGTGAGGACGTGGGGAGAAGACGGCCGTCTCCATGCCAAGGAGAGAGGCCTTGGGAAGAACCAGCCCTGCCTGGACCTCGGATGCCAGCCTCCGGGACTGGGTGAACGTCTGTGGTCGAAGCGGGCTCCCCCTGAGACTCTGTATTACAAACAGCCCCAGGAAACCCATACTCCTGCCCTGGACTCTGAGGTCACTGTGGGTCTGGACCTCTGCAGAAGCTTCTGGCTGTTCTACTGGCCACTTGCTCGCAGCAAGCCTCCTCCTGTGGTGCTGGACGGCTGCTCTGGCCCCTCAGCCCCCACGGCCTCCGGGCTTAGCTCCACCATCTCAGCCCTCTCGCCTCGCCCTGCCCCTTCTCCCAGCAGCGGCCCTCCTGTGGTGCCCACTGCTCTCAGTAGTGACTCCTGCTTCCCCCTTTTCCAGTTCCTTCCTGGCCACCAGCATCCTCCTCCAGGAAGCCCTCCCTGACCACGCAGACTGCATTCCTCTCCCACGCTTACAAGGTGCCAAGTCTTCCATTTTCTTGGCCCCACATAGCCTCACAAGGGAGCACGTTACTAAGAAAGTGTGAGACCCTTCTGTGCCAAGCGTTCGGTGAGTCAAGGGAGCAGGAATGCTGGCCTCCTCACAGTCCTACAAGTCTAGACTTCTCTGAGCATCCCAGATGCTAATGGCTGCCAAGTGCTGGCCAGGTACCGGGCACAGGGCTCAGCCCTCTACTCCATCTTCCTCCCGCCCCAGGGTCACTGCTGTCAACCTCAATTCATAGATGGGGAGACTGAGGCATAGACAGCCTGAGGTCTCACAGCAAGACAGCCCACTGTCTGGACTGGAGCCAGGAACCTGGCTTTTGGGCGGAGCTGGAAAGCATGGCTGTGTCTCTGGACACCGGTATCCCAGAGCGCGTTCTTGCTCACCCAGCTGGACCTCCTATGCACAGAGCCGCGGACACAGCAGAGAGACACTCGCTGCCGGTGGCACCCCTTCCAGCTCAGATCTGGCTTTACCCACCAGCACCACCGGCAGCCCAGCCCTGGTTCACCTGGGGCTCCATCAAGCCCATGCCTGGCCCAGCATCTTCTTCACCAGCTCGGCCTCTTCAAACAAATCTCCGTGCCCTGCCTGCCCCCTCACAGAGGGCAGAACCCAGGAGGTCCAGCCTGTCCACACCCAGCAGCCAGACCCTTGGAAGTCCTGGGAGCTCT